CGACCCCGGTCTTGTCGGGTTATTTATTACTTCAACACTCCTACACTTGGAAAAGACATCAATATTCTAATTATGTCAAGTTTTTGGCGTCATTGCCGAGGAGGTAAATTCATGTATAACTTATAATTTTTATTTTATTTTCTCTTTTCATTTTTCTTATATCTAACTTTTGTTTATTTTTTATTTTTTTTCTTCTTCCTTTTATTCTCTTTTTATACGTGTATGAGAGTTTCATCATGTATATTAAGTGAGACTTTATAAAGTTTCCTCATCATTTTCAAAAAATATGGTCGAAGAATATAACCAGTCACTTCATAATAAGAATAATGAGAATAATTGAGTTAGAACACTTAGAGACCATACGAATTCCATAAGAACAAGTGTACCCTTATACATAGTTTTTCCTCCTGATGCATCTCATTTTAATTTTAAGCTAAATTTTTTTCAACTTTTACCTTCTTTTCATAGTTAGATTTAGAAAATTTATACTTGCATTTAAAGGAATTTGAGGAGGTTTGTAACACTAATAATAACTCAAATTGTAGCATGAACATTATCAGATTAAATATTTTTTCTTTTTCTTTAAAAGATAAAGCTAAAACATTGCTATAAAATTTGAGACTAGGATTCATTCGTGCTTAGGATGAAATGCAACAACAATTTTTAAAAAAGTTATTCCCTTCTCATAGAACAAACTCTTTCAAAAAATAAATCATCAATTTCACTAAAAAACTAAGAGAAATATTTTACAAATATTGAGATAGATATCAAGACTTACTTAATAATTGCTTTCATTATAGTTTAGAAACATGGAGATTGGTTTCACATTTTTATGAAGGATTAACACCTACAGATAAGCAAATGGTGGAATTGATGTGCAATGAAATTTTTAAAGATAAAGATCCTAATGAAGTAATGGAGTATCTAGATTTGCTAACTGAAAATGCTCAAAATTAGGACATTACAGACACTTATGAGGCACCAAGCAAAATTCAACCTTATATATTTAGTGGAGGAATATACAATTTTAGGGAAAATCATAATCACCAAGCCAAGTTTGCATCTTTAGCTAGAAAAGTTGAGACACTAGAATTGAAAAATAATGATCAATTAAAATCTATTCAAGACATTGTGTGTAAAATCTGTGGAACCAATGAACACTCAACTACCGACTGCTCAACTTTGTCTTTTTTAAGAAATAACTCCATAAACAAGCCTATGCTTTAAATAGTTTTCAAAGGCCCAATCATAACCCATACTCACAAACGTATAACCCTAGTTGTAGAAATCACCTAAATTTCAGTTGGAAGAGTAACACATAAACTTCACAGCCACCATTTTAAGCATAACATAATTTCCAAAATTCTCATAGATATGCACCTCCTTATACTTCACTTTCTAGAAGAAATCTTGAGAAAACATTGCATACACTTATTGAAAAGAAAAAAAATAATAAACACTCAAAATGCTTAAACTATGGCAGATCTAAAAGATGCTCTTGCAAAGTTCACATATGCTTTTAGTTTTCAAGATAAAGGTAAGTTTTCATCTCAATCACAACAAAATCCCAAGTGACTATATAATTCAAATGCAAGTAGTTTCGGAAGTTAATATACGGATCAAGTTAAATCAGTCATCACTCTTTGTAATGGTAAGGTTATTGAAAAACCCACTCTTAAACCTTGTGAGAAAGATGATGAGTTACTCTCTGATGGTATGGAAGGAGTTAAATCCAAACATTGTAAAGAAAAGACTGATTCCCCACCAACATTTCCATTTCTTTATGTCATGACCAAACAAAGAAAAGTCAATTACAGCTATGAAATTTTTGAAAGTTTCAAACAGGTAAGAATTAATATACCTTTGTTGGATGCTATTAAAAAGGTACTTTTGTATGTTAAAATTTTGAAAAACCTGTGTACCATGAAGAAAAAACTGAATGTGAAAAAAAAAGTCTTTTTAGCCAAACAAGTAAGTGTCATTCTTTAAAATAATAATTATTTGAAATATAAAAACCCTGGTTATCTTACAATTTTTTGCTTTATTGGAGACCATAAAATTAAAAGAGCCTTACTTATCTTGGAACTAGTGTAAATTTACTTCCATATTCAGTTTTTTAGAATCTAAATGAGGTAAAACCAACTTCTGTGACTACTTAAAAGTGCATGTTTATCAAGGTTTTATATTATCATTTTGCACTTGAAGTATTAATAACTTCTAAACTAGAGCATGTTTTATAATAACATATTTAATAAATATAAAAAACCTTTAATTTATGGTAAATGTTCATCTTAAATGCAGGCCTATCACATAAATAAAAAGATTAATTAATGAATTTAACTACTGAAATTGAGAAAACAAAGAGAGGGCTAAGCTTAGAAAAGAGATGTTGGTTTAGTCCAAACTAGAACATTGTTCAATCATTGAGTCATATTTATAGATGTAGATCTTGGATTTCAGTTTGGTTTATATGGCTAGAAAGCTAAGATATAGGCCTAAAACATTTATGTGTTATCCAAAACTCAATTGTGCCGTTTGGAAGTATAAATCTTAGCATCAAAAGAGAAGTCTGAATCTGTCCTGAGCCTAGACACTATTCAATATTTAACCTATATCTCGAGTTCTAGAAGTCCAAATGACCTTAATTTTTTTTTAAAAGCTGAGATAATGTCCTAGAACTTTCATGAATACAGTTTGTTTAAATTCTGATATTAGCAATAACGTTTTGTTCAGACAAGAAGATAAGGATTATCACCAAGTCAAAATGTGGCCACCTACTTAACAATTAGTCAACAAATCAATAGTTTTAAATTTTGGCCTATAAAAGAAGGCATTTACCATGTATTTAGAGATCTTGGTTTTTAGATCAAGATCACGTTCTTGTTTTTTTTCTTTATATTGTTTAATCTTCACATTAATCTTACATCTTAAAGTTCTCTTTAACTTATTATTATTGTTGTTTTTGTTGATATTATTATTATTATTATTATTATTATTATTATTATAATTAATTTTTTTGTGGTTCGATTCCAATTTTATTAAGTTATTTATTACTTTGATATTATTATACTTAAAAAAATATTAATTTTTTAATTGTGTTATTTTTTTTAATCTCATCCTCTATTAGTAAATTAGTTTAAATTAATGTATAAGTTTATTGAGAGCTAAATTAACAAAAAAAAAAAAATAGATGCAAAAAAAGCATTGTGAACACGATGCGTTTAACCCCATGAATTCCCCTTACCTTTTCCATTTGCTTATAATTATAATTATAAATACTCACTCCCGCCCGATTTTGTAATTAATAACTAAAAAACTCATCAACTTCTGTAACTATTTAAAAGTGCATGTTTATCAAAGTTTTATATTATCACTTTGCATTTGAAGTATTAATAACTACTAAACTAGGACATGCTTTATAATAACATATTTAATAAATATAAGAAACCTTTAATTTATGGTAAATGTTCATCTTAAATGCAGGCCTATCATATAAATAAAAAGATTAATTGATAAATTTAACTACTGAAATTGAGAAAACAAAGAGAGGGCTAAACTTAGAAAAGAGATGTTGGTTTAGTCCAAACTAGAACACTGTTCAATCATTAGGTCATATCTAGAGATGTAGATCTTGGATTTCAGTTTGGTTTATATGGCTAGAAAGCTAAGATATAGGCATAAAACATTCACGTGTTATCCAAAACTTAATTACGCTGTTTAGAAGTATAAATCTTAGCATTAAAAGAAAAAGTCTGAATTTGTCCTACAGTCTAGACGCAGTTCAATATTTAACCTATATGTTGAGTTCTAGAAGTCCAAATGACCTTAATTTTTTTTAGAAAGTTGAGATAATATCCTAGAACTTTCATGAATACAGTTTGTTCAAATTTTGATAGTAGCAATAACATTTTGTTCAGACAAGAAGATAAGGATCATCACCCAAGTCAAGATGTGACCGCCTACTTAACAATTAGTCAACAAATCAATAGTTTCAAATTTCAGCCTATAAAAGGAGGTATTTACCATGTATTTAGACATCTTGGTTTTTAGATCAAGATCACGTTCTTGTTCTTTTTCTTTATATTTTTGTAATGATTAAGTTTTGTTTTCATTAATCTCTTATTT